GGGACCTGTAAGTCAATCTTCACTATCCCATACTCAAAACTAAATTATTATAAATAAATGACAAAAAAAAGAAGCTAGCCCTTATCATTCATTTACTTATCAAGCTTTCTCTTAAACTCAATTAAATTTACTGCCTCCACAACATCCGAAGGCAACCCATTCCAAAAGCCAACCACCCTGTTAGTAAAATAAAACTGTCTTAGCTGAAGATGACTCCTACAGTGTCAAAATTTAAATTTTTTTGTCCCCTAGTCTTACTATTCTCACTGTTAAGTATGGAAAAAAAAAAATGATGCATCAAAACTATCAATAATGTTTACAATCTTAAACCCCTCAATCAGATCCCATCTAACTTTTCTTTTTGCAAGAGAAAATAATTTGAGAGATTTCAACCTCTCCTCGTATGACAACCCCCTCCACCCCAGGAATCATTCTAGTAACCCTTCTCTGAACCCTTTCCAACAACTCAATGTCCTTCCTAAGGTAAGGAGCCCAAAAATGAACACAATACTCCAAATGTGGTATAACCAGTGACCTGTACAATGAAATTATAATCTCTTTAGATTTGTATTCAATATTTCTGTAGATACAACTTAAAATACTATTTGTGCTACCACTTGCAACAGCTTAGTTGACTCAAGAGACTGATCAACCATTACACCAAGATCCCTTTCTTTCATGACACTCTTAAGGTTATTCTCATCCAAATTATACTTATAATTGAAATTGTGATAACCCACATGCTTTAGCTTGCATTTATTATAATTAAAACCCATTTGCCATTTATTTGCCCAACTCACTAAATGATCTAAATCATTTTGTAAATCAGCAAGATCTTCACAATACCTTAATATCATCTACAAATTTAAATAATTTATTGATCACCCCCGTCATGAATGTCATTAATGTAAATCAAAAACAGCAAGGACCAAGCCCTGAGGTACCCCACTCGTAACATTAATCTAGTTTGACTGAACTCCATTTGTAACAAACCTCCGCTTTCTTAAATCCAACCACTGTTCTATCCAATTTGCCAACTTATCCCCCACATCTATAGAGTTAACATTTTTTTTTACGAGTATTTTATGTGTCACCTTATCAAATGCTTTCTAAAAATCCAGATACACCAAATCTACACCACTACCCTCACCTACATAAGCAGTAACCTTTTCAAAGAATGTTAAGGGATTCGTCAGACAAGAATTTCCCTTAGTGAAACCGTGTTGACTATCTAATAAAAATTCTAAACTTTGTTAAATATCTTTACAAAGCATCTTTTATAAGACTTTCTAAAACTTTTCCCACAACTGATGTAAGACTAATGGGTCTATAATTACTGGGACAATTTTCAATCACATCCTTTGAAAAGAGGAGTGACATTAGCAAGCTTCCAATCCTCTGGTATCTGCCCATACTAAGCACTACTGGGCTCAGTGATATTATTCACAAATTTGCTGTATCATTATTCGTAGCCTTAATTTCCATATGTATCATATGCAAACTGCATACAGTTGCGCCACAGTTTTTATTTTCTAGCCTGGCATGACCTGGTGATTTGGACACTCGATTCGAAATTTACTGTTCGCGAGTCCAAATCTCGTTACCAAACATGCTCGCCCGTTTTTGCCGTAGGGGCGTTATAATGTTACTATCAATCCCAGTGTACCGTAGTTTATTTCTGGCCTTGCATGGCCTGTTGGTTATAGCATTCGATTCAAAACATGCTGGTCAGGAGTTCGAATCCCGTTACCGAACATGCTCGTCCTCTCAGCCGTAGGGGCGTCATAAAGTAAAAATCAATCCCACTATACGTTAGTAGAGTGGCCCAAGAGTTGTTGGCGATTGGTGTTGACTAGCTTACCTTTACTCTAGTTTATAACTCCTAAATTAGGGACAGCTAGTGCATAAAGCCCTCTGGTAGTTTTGCGTAAAATTCAAACAAACAAATCTTATTTTCTAAAATCCAAAATTCAGTACAAACGTTGCTCAATTTTAGTCAATAAAAGATATTTTCGTAAAACAATCCGTAAAATTCTTAAGTTCGCCAAAAATTAAATATTTTACTTCGTCTATATTAATGGGTATTGAAATGTCAATATGTTTAAAAACACTTTGAACGTCAATATCATTTCAGCATAACAGAGGGCGTACATTAAAAGTAATTACTTACATAATAATTTTGTCACACTAACATAAACTGAACTTTGTGTACCTTGTCACTTTGCAACTGAACATTAAAGAAAGTACTCGAACATTATTTTTCATATTTGTTTCAAAATGTCATACAATCGATACATATTCTATTTTTAACCGCTCTCCGGTAGCTTGGGAGTAAGTTCGAAAACTTATAGCGCTAAGAATTAGGGCTCGATCACTGCTATGGGTACTTCATGAACATTTGCGCTTAAAGAAACAAACATATTTAAACCAAATTTGTATATTAGATAAGATTAAATAAATTTGTCACATATTGCTTGTACCCATTTATAGATTATAGTGTGTAGGCCTAAGCTTTTCTTTTGCTTTTTTCCCCCCAAGATTAACACTCACAGAACAGGGCTCTAACTGTGCTTTATCGGAAAATCTTCCTTCCTTCTTCAGGGACGAGGAAGGAAGAAGGAAAGACAATCTTCCGTTTAATCGTTGTGTACTCTATTTCCTTTAGAAACATGATGTAATACGAAAACCTGGCCAACGAGTGATGTTAAAACTTGAATTAAACGCTGTCTAATATGTATGAAGCATGTATATTACGTCTTTCCACAATTTAACTCATGAAGAGATAAGACTAACGATCTAGTAGTTGTGTTGATTTACGTATATAGTTTGTTTGTTTGTTTTACATATTAATTTACCTATGTTACGAGTTTTAAAAACGAAAGCAACTAAATGGTAATTTCAATATCTAATAAACCGAATATATTGTTACCTCATTCTTAGTTATATTGTAAAAAAAATAATTGTTTTCACGACATTTAAGAAATGTGGCCTTTATTAAACTCATTAATGCATTATATTTGATTAACGGCCAAACTCAAACATTAGGAGCACAAGCAAATCATCATTATTGAAATGGTATTGTTACGATAGCGGAAGTCACGTGACTCTGGTAACACGTGATGAGTTTCTAGAAGATCCACGAACAGACGAGATGTACGCTTTTATAATATAAAAGACCGACAAGAAGTGACGGCAACAACTGAATTGCAGACAGAGATAGAGACGGACAATTGAGTCAAGCGCGGTAGTAGGTAAAGTGCGTGAATCGTTCGTTGTGAATTATAGCGTTTGAAAACTAGTTTATTCTTTCACAATACAACTTTGCAATACACTTAATTTCCACAGTCACTTTAACTTAAAATTTTAGAAAGGGCTTGTATTGTTAAAGTTTCTTCGGAAAGAATTTTTACGGAAAATTATCAAACGAACACAGAGATGTAACAGTGTGTGTGTGTGTGTGTGTGTGTGTGTGTGTGTGTGTGTTTAACGAACTCTATTCAAATCACCATTATTTTTTTATTTTTTTTGCAAATAAACCATGAATTGCAATGTGATAAATTTTAAAGGTGGGATATGATACAGAAAAAGTAGGTTAACCATTATCAGATGTAAAGACTTTAAAAATTCTTACTTGGTATTATAAAAGTGTACTGCGTTGAATCAGACCGAATGCAAAAGTAGAGTTTCATTTAAATTATGAAATTCAACGAAGACGAATCCAGGAAAATGATAACCATTAATAATACAAAATGGTAATATTAACACTAAAAATCACCGTCATTATTACTTAGCACTAGCGAAAATAATTCACAAGACTATAGCCACTGCTTCCCGTATCTTATATTAACGAAACAGTTGTATTATTTTCAAACTGTACATTTGGGGTTAAGTCATTTAAAAATCACGTTAAGAACAATTAATACATTATTCAAGACGTAAACATTTCCTAGAACAAGTACGATAATGGAATAATATCTAGAGCCGCTGAATACGCTATCACTGATTTTGGTCCGATAGAGGGAAGGCAGCTAATCTACGGCACCCACCGCCAACTCTTGGTTTACTCTTGTCCGACCGTATAGTGGTAGTTAACTATCACTCTTATAGAGCTTCTATGACTCCAAAGTGTGGGACGAATTACTGTAGTAAAGGAACAAATCTTGAAACCTCGGATTCACAATCTGGCTACACTTACCATTAGGCCACACCCCGCCACGCTGAATTTGAAAGCCCAGAACTGATGCACATAGTAATGTACATTTTTTATTTTCCCGTCTTGCACACTGGCACATAAGAGGAACTGGAGAGACAACAAACATCTGTATATTTTCTGTTTCGTGTAACGAATTCGTTAAAAGGAAAAATATATATATATATTAAATTACAGTAGTCACTTGACCCCGTTTTAGGCGATACAAGCAGTCAGTTTTTGTTTGTTTAATTACATTGAGGGAACATTAGTCTCAGTTTTGTATAGCTTAAACATATAATGTACACTATGAGTGAGAGAAAGAAAAAAAAGTATAAACCCAATATTATGCATAATTTTTCAGCTATTGCTTCTGACACTTAAGTTAAGAATACTGTGGATTTACAAGTCAAGAAAGAATAATAAATTTAACGGAGCACTAATAAGAAAACCTTTTGATAATATTATGGATTTGCACGTCTAGAAAATAAGAAAATACATCTAGCTGATAAGTATATAACTGTGGGATATAACATCACATCTGAACATCTTCTTACTTTTATTACATGACTTGGCTTACAATTTGTAATACAAGTTACATTTAACCGACTTCGTGACTTCAAAGATTACTGTGAAGGCATTTTATTTAAAATAAATTAACTCGAAACTAAAATTTCCACTTTGCTTTTATGATAACTTTACCTACATCGGTAACGTACTTTATCCAGCTGCAAAATACATTCTCTCCTCCGGGACAATTCTTAATCGAATTGATTAATAAATAAATAAAATTATCGTTTACTTTACTTACCCAAACACCACGGCGTATGTGAAATGGTAGACTTTGAGCACAGTGTCGTTTAGTTTGGTTTATAACGCCGAATTTTGAGAACTACTTTCCAAGCAATCAGAGTGGCGGGACTACAGGCTTCCCGTGTAGCTTTCGCGGAATTAAACAACCAGGTAGTGCGTCTAATGAGAAGCCTAAACTATTAACCTCGGAAAGAAGAGTTGGAATTTGCATGCGGGGAAGAAAGTTATGTTTTCAATATGATTCGCAGTTCAATGGCAATTTAGAAAAGGAAAACGCGAATTTCTTCAGACGACGCAGGGAAATACGCATGGATGAACCACCATAGATCAAGATTTAGCCCGTGAACTATTCGTATGAGGACGGGACAACCCCCTTATGTTAGGAAATAATTCCGGTTTAAGGACGTGTTTGCTACGTTAGCTCATGCGCATTCTCAGCCCAACTTAAGTAATGTTCGGTTTTCCCCCAGTGTCGCCTGAGGCGCAGTAAACAACTATTAACCTGTAGAAACGCAGAAAGACCACTCTGGTCTTCTATGAAAACAGAATGAGAATCTCAACCATTGCATAACAAAGTTGCTACGATATAAACGTCTACATCTATGGACGCTTCCGTCTCCGGATGTCTTGTTATAAGTTTTCGAATGTGCTTCCCGTTTCTCGTGGATTTAGTGAACGTATTTCTGGAGTTGGATTCTTTTGAACTTCCAATTTAGATCATAATCAGCTACATCGTAACACATGAAGAAGTAACTGAAAGGTATTTACGAAACGTACTTGGGTGGAAGTACAAGACTTTCATATAAATCAGTTTATGAGCCATAGGTATTCTTAAGCCTTGAAGTTGAGGCTCATCAAATTTGATATAATAGGTTATTTGTTTTTATATGTCACGGTTAAGTGAAGAGCGTTATTCAATGCAAGTTTGTAAATTATCTCGAAAGCTTAGGGTTAATATATGAAGTGTGTGTATGTGTGTTGGAAGATATAAATGAATTCGTAAAAAGTCCACAACTACCGATTACGATATACTTGTTTCTGTGTAATTACCCATTAATATGTGTTTTATTCTATATTATTATTATATTAGCATGTTTTCTTCTATAAAATATTTCTCACGTAATTTTGAAACAATACTTTTTTTACGCGATTTTACTTAACATTAAAACCTTTTTTCGTAAGGGCGCTAAACGCCACTAACATACACTTCCGCTCACAACGGGAAGTAGAATGAACTATCTATATCGACACCTTGGCCATATCATTTTGGGCTCTCCAGCTAAGGAAATTCTTTATGGGGATAATTATAGCAGATGTGTGTTTCTTTCGGCTCGGAACCGAACAAGGAGTTTTAGCACTATTGCCTCTCCTTCTTCCCGTTTGCTTTGTGCTTGGGTAATAAACTGATATGACTTCAGTGTTAGTAACTGCAAATTTACCATTTCTTTATATATGGGTAATTCCAAAAGATCCGCCATTTTTGTTGTTGTATCTGTAATTCCAAAATACTCGCCGTTCCTCTATAACCGTCATCCAGAATGTAAGCCTTTTGTACTATCCGCCGCTCAAAAAATTCGCTATTTCTTTATATAGCAGTATGTCATTTCAAAATCGAGGCATGTGTACTTAGCGTTGTTACAAAATAATATCAAGTTTAAGATTCGAATGATCAACGTAATAATAATTATTATTGTATTGGCGTTACAGCTTGTTGCACGTTTTTGCGTTCGACAGTCACGTGTTATATGGCCAGAGTTGATATCTGGTTCCTTTTGATCTTTTAAATTACATCTAAAATATTCTACTCAGAAAACATTATTTCGAAAGTAATAGTGACTGTACATGTGGTTTAATTATTTTTAGAGAATAAAGTATAATATTACGGGATTTATCTAAATATATAATATTGGCGACACCTAGTTTTAAGAAAAAAGTGAAATCATTTTCGATTGAAGGTATACAGAACCTAAAGTGGCCTCAACGAAATTATGCTCGTTTAACTTCATCACTTTGTTGTAGGTTTTAAACTATTTTCTGAATATTCATATTGGCAGTGCTGAAAATAATGTGTTTTAAAGGCTACAGCTAAAATGTAAAGTTATTCTATTTATTATCGATTGATCGCTATTTCTTTATATACTTCATAAAGCCCTGCTATACTGCTATTTTCTCCTACATGTTGTCTTGCATATCGAGCGTCATCATATTTTGATATTACCACAATTGTTAGCCGCGACATTGAGTGGATCAGTTTTTTGTTGTTGTTGTTTTTTAGTAGAAACTTTTTAGCTCGTAGCTCACAATCATTTCTCCACCGATTGGAGATTGAAAGGCAGTTTTGGACTCTAGGAGTGAAGCCCTTTCGATTGATGTATTTGATCACGCCAAAGGTCTTAGAGATTAATTTACTCTAATTCTGCCTACTAAAAGAATTTCAGTTTGATGGTAGGCTGGTAGATATCCTGATGAGTAATAAAATCGAATCAGGTATACGTGCTCCCCACGCTTGGTATTTCTGGCTCACAAAAATATAGCTAATAAAAAGAGAGAAAAAAAACATGTCTCGGAGATTAATTTACTATAAGCATACCTAAAATAATTTAAAGTGCCACGGCTATTGCGAGTTCCCTCTTGTTTAATATTGACATCATACTTTCAAGTCACACTCTACATATCCTTTTAATTTGCTGCAAATATATATTTTATATGTGATTATTGGTGGTTAATGTGAAAAATTTAATAACCTATATGATTAAGTAAATCCCCGAAGTTCTAATGCCAAAGTATTTATCACATGTTAGTAGGTCATTGACCTGTATGTTATTTTTCATACATTCACACTAAACCATTC